AGCAGATGGGTTCCATTGAACTTGAGCTGGGTTCCCTTGAACCCAGATCAGTTGGGATTGAGGGAACCCAGCAACACAAAGGAAGAAGAGGAAGAAAAAAGAGGAAGAAAGAAAAAGAAAAAAGAAAGGAAAAAGATGAATCAAAAGAGGGGAAGAAGATGGATCAAGAAAGGGAGATAGGGTATTAAGGTAAATTTGTAGTTTGTTAATTTTTTATTACAAATATAAATGCTAATCAAATTTGGTTTATAAGTTGACGTTGATGTGTCATTAAAAAAAATTCAGATCAATACTTTTTTAAGTTGTTTTTGTCATGTTATCAAAAAATAAAAATAAAAAATGCCACATGATAGAGTTAACGATCTAAATTGACAGAAAGACTAACGATGTGCATTTTTTAGAGTTGAGAGATCAAAAAAATACAAAAAGTTATTGAGGGACCAAAAATGTGTAACTCACTAAAATTGAGAGACCAAATTTAACATTTAACCATTAAGTTAAAATCAGAAAGTTTAAGAGATTAAAAATATAAATTCAAATGATGAAAGTACACTGTCATATAATCGTAGGTCAAATTCAAAGAATTTATTAGTCTACTTCGCCAGAAATTTGACCTGGCGGTTGTATAATCATTCACTTTTAGAGTTTTTCCTCCTTACTCTTGTACTTTTTGTCCTATCTTAATCAATTTTTTTTTTTAATTTCAGTATTTTTTTTTTCAAATTGAGTTAATTATTTATTGGATTATAAATATCTAATATTATTTTTGTATACATGATAAAGACATTTATTAATTTTTTTAATTTACTAATTTTTAATTTTTTAAACTTTTGGGACTAAATCAAATAAAATCATATCATTCAAATATTAATAAAATCAAGACTAATTCACATCATATTGTGTATATACTATAAAGAAAGTTGGTAAATTTTGTATGGTAATAATATAAAAATCTTCTTAATAAACATTAAATAAAACTGTTATGTTTTATACTTTTTTTTCTTGTGTGTAGGTAGCAATATCCATTGAGCCATTGAGCCACTGGTACGTGTGACTCTGGGGCCTTTGGCTTAATTTGTCTTTCTTGAATTTGATCACTTAATGTGCTCCTTGTCCTAAAAAATGGTATAAACATTTTTCTAAATTACAAAAAAAATAAGTATGATCACGACTGTGACATAATATTTAGAAATTTTTTTACCCAATTACTCCATTACCTCAGTCTATATATGCACGAGCTTTTAAAAAACCACAGGGTTCATGTTTTTCAGCTTCAGCTAAAAGTTGGTAGCCACACACTCTTTTTTTATCTTCCTAAAAGTTTGTTTGAATTCACAGTGCATGTATTTTCCCACAATTCTTGCACCCACTTGCCAATTTTAGGCTCCCACTGGAATTTTTGCTAAGAAATAAACCAAAAGATTGAATTCAAAAGGTTGCATTGTCAAAGTTTGAACTTGAACAAAATAATATTCTTAAATTATAGTAAAAAAGGATGAGTCATGCATAAAATAAATTCCAATATAATTGTTGATTTTTTTTTTTTTTTGGACAAAGATAATGGTTAGAAGTTAGTAAAGTTAAAATTGTTAATAGGAGGTATTGAATCTGGACAATGGTGCAATCCACCGGTTGCTCTTTTGGACAGTAACGACTATAGTCACAGTGAGAGAATGTTGAAAAGAATGAGGATTGAATCCCACACCACAAATAAGATGCCCTTTAACCAATGATTAAGTGACCATTTGAACCACATGGTCTTTTTAATTGTTGATTCTTCTAGGGAACAAAAGTCCATGTGATGTACGCATCCGATAGATTATCCTCTAATTGGACAACAATATCCCACCAGATCTTCTGCAAGATATTTTCAAAGTTATCTAGCACCAATAGGATCTTACTGCCATTCGCTAGCATCTTTAGTGGGTTTGCCTTTTCTCCACCCTTTTTCTTACAGGGGCCAGCTGGTATAGCTTCATTAGCACTACTAAAAGCATGATTCTCATAAGGAGCAACTATAATCTTTGGGATTGCATCAACTAGCTGCTCCTCTTCAACCCACCACTATGGGTCAAAAGTAGATAGCGATAGCCGTCTACAAAACTATGATTCATCCATAGTATCAATGCATTAAGAAGAGCCACAAAATGCCACTACAAAATGAAAAAAAAAAAAAATATTAATTAAACTAACTTATAAACAATAGATTGAAATTAACAAGTAAACTAATTTTTAATATATTTTTACAAGTCAAAACAAATAATATATATCCAACAAATAACAATTACAATTAATGCAAAATATATTTTATAACTTTAAATATAACTTTAATTTTTTTTAAATAATTATTTAAAATATAAATACAATATAATTTCTCAACATTTTTCCTATAATATAAGATTCAACACTATAATTATAATTAAACATTGAAATATTTCTATACAAATAGTTAACAATCATATTTAGTATTTTAATAAATAATTATTAATAAATAATTTTTTTTGATACATATTAGTAAATAAATATCAATAAGAAATTTCATTTACATATAGATCTAGTGGTTTTAGAGGATAAGATAGAATAAAACACCAAATTTTATAATACTTTGAGCTTTAATGTTAAAAGTCAAATAAATAATTATTGTTCCTTTTCATGAGTTTTATTTCTTAAATTATATTATATATTCAGCAATTTCCTTAAGAGTATGAAATGAATCATAAGGTTTTTTCAAATAAAAAATAATCAGATAAATATAAAACTATTTATTTTGTCAAATACTCAACAAAAATTAAAAAAAAAAAGGGAAATATGTCAATAACTCACTTTTGTTGTAGATCTTGTTTATTTGCTGGCGAAGAAAGCAGTTGAAAAAAATGTAGATATTGGTGCTTAAGGAGTTAGATCTAAGGAAATATGTGGTTAGAAAGTTGAAATTTCAATTAAAAAGAAAGAGATTTTTTTTTTTTCGTAAAAAAAAAAAAAAAGGAAAAAAAGGGGAGATTTGATGGGCATTTGAGTGTCCGAAAATGTCACTTACCATAGTAGATGGACAATGGTTAAAAAGAAATAAGGCTGGCGAAGAAAAGACCCAAAAACAAGAGAAAAACTAGAGAAAATGGGAGGAAAAAAAATGATAGACTCACGGGGAGACGGAGGAAGAAGAAGGTCACAAAATTTTTTGTGCATACTTATTTAGACCAGAATCAGTGCAAAGATACTTGACATGCACAACCAAACGTCTTGTTAGTGCAAAGATTCTCTGCATAGACTTGTCCAGATTGTTAACAGTTTAGACACTATAGGCCAATGAGCAAGCCAATGTCACATTTTGATATCTCCATATTGTTAATGATTTGAAAAAGGACCATAATTCATGCATATCCCGATTCAACACCTGGGGGTGTACATTTCACATAACCAAATAATTTTAAAAGTAAAATTACAAATTTACCTTTTCTTTTTTTATTTTTTTCTTTCGGGTTCTCGAGAGAACCCAGATCCTTTTTTTTTTTCTCTCTCTCGGTCTAGGTTCTCGAAGAACCTAGACTTGGGTTCTGGAGAACCCAAATCGGATTCTTTGAGAATCCACCTCTTCTTCTCTCTCGATTCTTCTCCCTTCTGTAGATCTAGACCATCTCCTTGCATCTCATCATCATCACAACCTCCACCTCCATCACTATCCTCAATCACCACCAAAATAGAAGGAGAGGGGTAGAACCATAGATCCCTCTGTTTTCCATCACCATTGTCACCATCACCACCATCATCATTGTCATTGCCAAGCAGCCCAAAATAAATAAATAAATAAATAAAAGGGTGAAGCAGATCTGGTTTCGAGGAAGGAGAAGAGTTCGATAGCTAAAAACACTAGATGGAAAGGGTTGAGGAAGATGGAGAAACAAGAAGAAAAAGGGGTATTGAGAGGAAGATGACTTTTAAGGTTAAATTTGTAATTTTATTGTTAAAATTATTTGGTTATGTACAATGTGCACCCCCTGGTGTTGAACCGAGGGTGCACAAAGCATTTTCCTTTGAAAATTTAGAGTGAAAAGTCTCATCAACCAGCGAACATCCCAATTGTGCAAAGATCTCTACACAGACTTTTCCAGACGATACCATGGCATAACTAATCCCCTATTCAATTAGCTAGATCAATGCCAGTGTGTATACTTTTTACATGTGCTTATACATCCAGACTACTAACGGT